GGGGCAGGATGATACACTTCTTAGGGACAGGGTGACACTTCCTAGGGGCAGGATGATACACTTCCTAGGGACAGGGAGACACTTCCTAGGGACAGGATGACACTTCCTAGGGGCAGGATGACCCTTCCTAGGGGCAGGATGACACTTCCTAGGGACAGGATGACCCTTCCTAGGGGCAGGATGACACTTCCTAGGGACAGGATGACCCTTCCTAGGGGCAGGATGACACTTCCTAGGGACAGGATGACCCTTCCTAGGGGCAGGATGACACTTCCTAGGGACAGGATGACCCTTCCTAGGGGCAGGATGACACTTCCTAGGGACAGGATGACCCTTCCTAGGGGCAGGATGACACTTCCTAGGGACAGGATGACCCTTCCTAGGGGCAGGATGACACTTCCTAGGGACAGGATGACCCTTCCTAGGGGCAGGATGACACTTCCTAGGGACAGGATGACCCTTCCTAGGGGCAGGATGACACTTCCTAGGGACAGGATGACCCTTCCTAGGGGCAGGATGACACTTCCTAGGGACAGGATGACCCTTCCTAGGGGCAGGATGACACTTCCTAGGGACAGGATGACCCTTCCTAGGGGCAGGATGACACTTCCTAGGGACAGGATGACCCTTCCTAGGGGCAGGATGACACTTCCTAGGGACAGGATGACCCTTCCTAGGGGCAGGATGACACTTCCTAGGGACAGGATGACCCTTCCTAGGGGCAGGATGACACTTCCTAGGGACAGGATGACCCTTCCTAGGGGCAGGATGACACTTCCTAGGGACAGGATGACCCTTCCTAGGGGCAGGATGACACTTCCTAGGGACAGGATGACCCTTCCTAGGGGCAGGATGACACTTCCTAGGGACAGGATGACCCTTCCTAGGGGCAGGATGACACTTCCTAGGGACAGGATGACCCTTCCTAGGGGCAGGATGACACTTCCTAGGGACAGGATGACCCTTCCTAGGGGCAGGATGACACTTCCTAGGGACAGGATGACCCTTCCTAGGGGCAGGATGACACTTCCTAGGGACAGGATGACCCTTCCTAGGGGCAGGATGACACTTCCTAGGGACAGGATGACCCTTCCTAGGGGCAGGATGACACTTCCTAGGGACAGGATGACCCTTCCTAGGGGCAGGATGACACTTCCTAGGGACAGGATGACCCTTCCTAGGGGCAGGATGACACTTCCTAGGGACAGGATGACCCTTCCTAGGGGCAGGATGACACTTCCTAGGGACAGGATGACCCTTCCTAGGGGCAGGATGACACTTCCTAGGGACAGGATGACCCTTCCTAGGGGCAGGATGACACTTCCTAGGGACAGGATGACCCTTCCTAGGGGCAGGATGACACTTCCTAGGGACAGGATGACCCTTCCTAGGGGCAGGATGACACTTCCTAGGGACAGGATGACCCTTCCTAGGGGCAGGATGACACTTCCTAGGGACAGGATGACACTTCCTAGGGGCAGGATGACCCTTCCTAGGGGCAGGATGACACTTTCTAGGGACAGTGCGACACTTCCTAGGGGCAGGATGACACTTACTTCCTAGGGACAGGATGACACTTCCTAGGGGCAGGATGACCCTTCCTAGGGGCAGGGTGGAACTTTCTAGGGACAGTGCGACACTTCCTAGGGGCAGGATGACACTTACTTCCTAGGGACAGGATGACACTTCCTAGGGGCAGGATGACCCTTCCTAGGGGCAGGGTGGAACTTTCTAGGGACAGTGCGACACTTCCTAGGGGCAGGATGACACTTACTTCCTAGGGACAGGATGACACTTCCTAGGGGCAGGATGACCCTTCCTAGGGGCAGGGTGGAACTTTCTAGGGACAGTGCGACACTTCCTAGGGGCAGGATGACACTTACTTCCTAGGGACAGGATGACACTTCCTAGGGGCAGGATGACCCTTCCTAGGGGCAGGGTGGAACTTTCTAGGGACAGTGCGACACTTCCTAGGGGCAGGATGACACTTACTTCCTAGGGACAGGATGACACTTCCTAGGGGCAGGATGACCCTTCCTAGGGGCAGGGTGGAACTTTCTAGGGACAGTGCGACACTTCCTAGGGGCAGGATGACACTTACTTCCTAGGGACAGGATGACACTTCCTAGGGGCAGGATGACCCTTCCTAGGGGCAGGGTGGAACTTTCTAGGGACAGTGCGACACTTCCTAGGGGCAGGATGACACTTACTTCCTAGGGACAGGATGACACTTCCTAGGGGCAGGATGACCCTTCCTAGGGGCAGGGTGGAACTTTCTAGGGACAGTGCGACACTTCCTAGGGGCAGGATGACACTTACTTCCTAGGGACAGGATGACACTTCCTAGGGGCAGGATGACCCTTCCTAGGGGCAGGGTGGAACTTTCTAGGGACAGTGCGACACTTCCTAGGGGCAGGATGACACTTACTTCCTAGGGACAGGATGACACTTCCTAGGGGCAGGATGACCCTTCCTAGGGGCAGGGTGGAACTTTCTAGGGACAGTGCGACACTTCCTAGGGGCAGGATGACACTTACTTCCTAGGGACAGGATGACACTTCCTAGGGGCAGGATGACCCTTCCTAGGGGCAGGGTGGAACTTTCTAGGGACAGTGCGACACTTCCTAGGGGCAGGATGACACTTACTTCCTAGGGACAGGATGACACTTCCTAGGGGCAGGATGACCCTTCCTAGGGGCAGGGTGGAACTTTCTAGGGACAGTGCGACACTTCCTAGGGGCAGGATGACACTTACTTCCTAGGGACAGGATGACACTTCCTAGGGGCAGGATGACACTTCCTAGGGGCAGGATGACCCTTCCTAGGGGCACAGGCAGCAGTTTTTATGTATTTCAGCTCCCACATCTTAGCTGAGCAAGTGTTTTATGAAGGGGAGCACTGAATGGTTATTGCCTGTTCCGAGGACCATGGGCGCTCTGAGAATGAGTGACAGGTGACAGAACCATGTGAAAGTCGGGGGTCAGTGGTGACTAGGCCTGCACTAAGACAAATGAGCCCCATACATTTAGCTTTGGGGCCCTGCCTTGGTGAAATACTGAAAGTCATCTTTTATATATAAGACAAATGTGATATAGGCTGAGTTAAAATCAAAGCATTTTCTTAGACCTTGAAATTTCACTTTTTTTTCTTTTAAATTCAAAGGAAATCGGTTCACAGTTCTGTGGCTCCCCAGAAGTGTGCTCACTGTGCCTGCTCACACCTGACTCCAGCCCTCTAGTGTGACACTGGGGACAAAGGAGCCAGGCTCCCTAGAGAAGCAGGTGAGGCTTTTACCCCCCACCCCCTATAGAACTGGCATGAGAGCAGCCATGGTTCACAGGGTTGCTCTATCCCTTTCACTTCCTGTTTCAAACATTTGACTTTCCAATCAACATTTTACAAAGCTACTATTAACGTCTGTAAAGTGGCACAGAGTTACGGAGGGATTCTGGAAGAGGACAGGAGTCACACAGAGCGGGGAGAGGTGGGCAGCACAGGCTGAGGAGCCTCGGGCTCGCGTATCTGTGTTGGCCTGTGTTGCTGTTATAGAATGGCAGTAGTTGGGGGTAGAACAGGCAGCCTGTATTCCTTCTTTTGTTACAAAAATATGAAGCTATATATGGAATGGAAACCAGGGAAAACTGCCATTTAAAGGCATTTACTAATTCGTTAAGTAGTAAAAGTCTCACCATGTAGCCCAGGCTGTCCTTGATCTCCTGATCCTCCTGCCTGGGCACCTAAGCACTGAGTTACCGGCAGGCACTACCAGTCCCAGCTCAGTTTACGCTGTTATTACAGCACATCTACGTAATTATTTGCCTTGGTCACTTGTGAGGTGACTCATGAGGAAACCAAGCTTCAGGAGGTTTGTCTAGTAAAATGGTGGGTTCCTTCTTTCTCCTCCTACCAGGGCCAGTTCCTAGCATAAGCATTTCCCATACATTAGTAGACAAGACTCATGGAATTTAATGTACACTACAGGTGATGGCTACGAAGGGCTTCAGAAACTCTCAGAGAAATTTGAGAGTAACAGTTCACGGATTTTTAGTAATGTAAAATCACCCATTCGTGGACACACTCCCCAGTCTCGGGACAACCCCGCCTCTCGCAGAGCCCTCCACCCTTCCCTCACTGAATTCAGTATTAGAACCATGACTTGGTGAGCACCGCTCGCCAACCAGAGCCTCCTGAAGACGGGGTCACATAGTTGTTAGACCTTCTAACTAAATCCAGAGAATTTGTATCTCTGAATTTCCCATTTGCCAGCTCTAGGCATCCCTCAGCCGGGCAACTCACCCTGGATGTCATCCTGACCCCCGCAGGGGCTGAGCGCGGTGGTCAGGGCGAGGATCCCCAGAATCAGAGCTCTGCTGGGCGTCATCCTCTCCCTTGAGTGGTCTCCTCCGCTGCTGTCCTGAGTTCTCAAGAGAGTGTGAGGATCCAGCCCAGGAGGTCTGACTCCAAACCAAATCCTGCCAGACCCAATCAGAAAATTCCGTCGTGATGACGTCGCAGTTGCCAGGTGCAGAGCTTGCAGGGAGAGGCCTGGAAGAGGCAAGGGGAACCCCCTGCCTCGCTGCAGCCTCTGCTCAGAGTGGACCCGAGGGAAGCTCTGGGACGGTGGGAGGTTCCACGCGGGACTTTCTCCCGTGCGCGTGTGTGCGGCTGGCAAGAGAGGAGAGAATTTCTGAAAAGCCCATGGATGGGGAACTCTGATAATAATGGCGCTCTTTACAATTTTCTGTGCCAGGAAGTCTCCCCTGAATTCATTCCTTTCCTGTGGCTTCCCCAACCCTGAAACCCATCCACTTTCTCAGGCTCGCACACACGAGTTAGCTGGTTTTGTCTTTTCTTTTCATAGTGTGCGCAGAACACTCCAAATGGTGCGTTGACCACCTGCCCAAGGGGTCCCCGCAGATGGTGGCGGGTCAGTCAAAGCCTTGGCTCTTTCTCCTTGTGTAAACCTGGGTGGGGGCTCTTTGCTCAGAGGTGGGGAGGCTTTAGGACCCAAGGCTGCCATCAGGACTGCAGTGTGTTTATCCAGATTTCTCCCTTCTTTTGAGTAATCTTCGTGCTATGTCTCAAGGAAGTTTGGGGACACTGAACACAAAAAAGGAAGTTCTGGCTAGCTCGACTAGTCTTAATATATATATATATTGAGAATGTTTAAGTAAATGTTGAAGATATTCTTGTAACTTAGAAAGGATCTTTGTTCCCCAAACTACTGGGTTTTCCAAATTTGTTATCCTTTATGTGAATGTTTTGGATAAATGTGAGGGACTGAAAATTAAAGCAACCTAGGGGGTTCTATTCTTCATAAAGACTGAGTTTTGTGCACTCTGTGGAGGCCACAAGCTTGTGATGACTGAGGACCAGTTACCTTGTCCTTGTGAGATGAGTGTGTGAGCCCTTGGTCTTTCCAGAGGCAGACAGGATACCCCAGTGCCTGCCTGGATACAGTGAACTAGGTGCTGCTCCAGCCTTAGCCTCACTGTGGCTTGCCTCCTTCTGGGCAGATTTATTAAGGTAATCACAGAGTTTTCCTACCTGCCCCCCACTTGCTGATGGAATGAGGGATAATTCTCTTTAGATAATGTAGGGACCAGTTTTGAGTGTCTGGGTTACAGCCCCTGTTGCTCAACCAAACACCCTTCCAGTTATCTGTGAACATATTCCATGGATGTGATTAATTCTGTAAGTAAGAGAGATGACCATGGACCAAGGCTCATCTGAGGAACAGGAGAGTCACAGTGGCCTCTGTCTGCACCAAGTTCCCATGTGAAGGCCACCTGTCCAGTGATCTTTGGACATGCTAGTTCACTCCCACATCTGCATAAGCAAATTCCTTGCCACAGTTTTCTTAGCATATATCCCACTGGCTTTACTTCCTTGGTTCCAACAGGCCGATATCCAGAGAGACCCTGTGATCCTCGGTGGTGAGTCTTCTCTTTCGATTCTCTGCTGGCCTTTGCCTGGAGGCCTTAACAGATCTTACTAGATGTTGTATGATTCCTGCAGAGACCTGAACAGATGTCTGTTCACCCAACAGGACACAGACAGCACACTAATGAGATGACTCCACCCAAGTCCAGCTTGGTGAAGCAGCAAGTTTGTTGGAATTACTGACAGGATCACCAGAGAGGAGTTATAGGTACATGGTGACCTAGAGGCAACTACGCAGACCCACACAAAGACAGACAGACAGACAGACAGACAGACAGACAGACAGACAC